GTTTGGTCTGATATTTCATAGGTGGTAGTGTCCAGGGTCACTGATGTGGAGTGGAATTCTCTGAAACTAGTCTGGCTCACAGACACACACACACACACACACACCCCAATGAAAGAATAGACCATTCCAGGCTTTTACTCGTTGTTAAACAAATGTTTAAAACAACTCTACTTATTGAACTATATGTATCAATTATATATATATATATAAAAACAGTGTGATCATTTGAATAGAGAGTATAATGCTGGAAACTTATTATGGCAGCTCAGTGAGAAAAGTATCACTACAATGCATTGAAATACTACTGCAGGTAATAATCATCTATCCTTTACAAATAAGGCTTAATATCATAGATGTTGCTAGGAGCTGGCACGCGAGGCCTATATCCCAAATCCCCAATTGGTGTCTCGAAAAGAAAACCACGACCGATATCATACTGAAACGCTGAAAATCCCCGTGCCTATGGGTCCAAGTCCCGATTCTTTTAAGCACCTTGCGAGATGCCTCTGCTTAATGTCGTAGAATACTTGTGGAAGATATAATCTGATGTAGTTAGGATCATATAAGAGGACTTCAATAATTCTTTAACATTTGTCACATACAGAAATTTATTACCATGCCGTACAAAAAAGAAACAAAATCCACGCGTAAATACGATGACTTACTTTAATCTGAATGAAAATTCTTCCCCACACTTCTGTACTTCTCCAATTATAACACAGCTACTCTGAATGAGACAGCACTGCTGTGAATTTAGAGGGTTCGGAGTCACGTGTGTACTACTTGACTGCAACAATGGACATGACACACTAGTTAACTGATCTCCTGTTTTCCAATTCCTGCACAGACAAACAATTCTTAAAGTCAATTTATCTCTATATCTTTGAGTGATATTTTTGAGTCAACGATAAAAAGGAGTACACTTAACAAGACCATGGTTCTAAGCTTTTGATTTCTTATTTTAGTTGAAATATAATCGGTGTAATTATACAATCATAGCTAAGCCACGTCGAGGTGCAATGAGCCCCATATTAACAACTTGTTATTACTGCCTCAATTTAACATGTAAGGACGTAGCCACGCTGACGTACAATGAACCCTTTACTGCTCTCTTATTACAGGTTCAATTTACCGTAATTATTAAACATGTCTTTTCTGATTTTTTTACATTTTTTTGTAGCTTACCACAAAATAAAGGAAAAATCTGGACATCCCGTTACTGAAAGAAGCAGTTCTTGTAAAAACTGCAAAGCAAGGTACTCTTCTGGGCTAGAGCTGTCCCCTGAAAGAATGGAGAATTATAAGGTGATCAAGAGAAACTACGATAACATCTTGTTCATATCACTAGCAGTTGCTTTCATTGTCGTATCTGTGCAGATAAAAAAACATTCTAAATATTTTCAATGGATTTATATAAAGATATCTGATGATCTAATTATCATTATGACACTTTAGATCTACAGTGACCCTGCAAACACTGGTTAAGCAGGAGGTTACATAAAACATACCTCAAAATCGAGACAGTCACGAGTGAGAGGGTGAAACAGAAAAAACAAATGAACATAAAATTTAAGAACTTATAATTATGGTTCTCTATCAAACATTAAGGTAGAGAATTTCACAGAATAATTATGTCATAGCTTTTAAACTCTAAAATTTAATTTCTCCACAGAGCAGACATGGATTAACAGTACAAAATCTTCTAATGCACGAAAAATAGAAACATACACATGGACAAAAATGAACCTACATAACAAACAACCTGTCCTCTAAACCAGTGCTTCTCAACCGGGTGTACGGTTCACCCAGTGATTTTGTTAATTTTATGTTTTATTCATTCTAGTTGTAGTTTGTTTGATGTATATTTAAGTGACATTAAAGAATTTTGCATTTTAATTTAGTTTTTTTTTTCGAACTGGAGTGAGTGAAATGTCGTGAACAACTTATAGGTGTGAATGCTACTGGAAAAGGTTGAGAAGCACTGGTCTAAACAATGTGTGAACATAAGTTGTTGAGATGCACTGGTCTAAACAATGTGTGAACATAAGTTGTTGAGATGCACTGGTGTAAACAATGTGTGAATGTAAGTTGTTGAGATGCACTGGTCTAAACAATGTGTGAACATAAGTTGTTGAGAAACACTGGTCTAAACAATGTGTGAACGTAAGTTGTCGAGATGCACTGGTCTAAACAATGTGTGAACGTAAGTTGTTGAGAAGCACTGGTCTAAACAATGTGTGAACATAAGTTGTTGAGATGCACTGGTCTAAACAATGTGTGAACATAAGTTGTTGAGAAACACTGGTCTAAACAATGTGTGAACGTAAGTTGTTGAGATGCACTGGCCTAAACAATGTGTGAACATAAGTTGTTGAGATGCAGTCAGTCTGTGTGTGAACGTAAGTTGTTGAGAAGCACTGGTCTAAACAATGTGTGAATGTAAGTTGTTGAGATGCACTGGTCTAAACAATGTGTGAACGTAAGTTGTCGAGATGCACTGGTCTAAACAATGCTACCACCTAGAATATCCAACTCACCTGTTCAGGTAAAATCTTTCCAGCAAAAAAATATCAGATAAACTTTTTCAAAATATAATAATTTCAGAGAAAGAAAAAACAATTCTAAACTCTGAAAAACCAACAGTTTCAATCATTAATACTTTTTTCTTCATTTGTCAGTATTATTAATCATGGAATCAAACAAAAAATACTTTAAAATTAACATGTAACAGGAAACACTGACAGATTATACATTCTCTTATCTAATTTGAACATCTGATTTAAATTTATTCTTGGTATTTCTCTTTTTTTTTTAGACATAAAAAAAGATTATTTTGTCTGTTCTTCTCTACGTTATTTCCTGAAAATCTATACACATTTTTATAGAAAAGAAGAGATGGAAGTTTGAGTCTTACCGTAATTTCCACGTACGACGTTAAACTTACCTTTTAGCTCCCTAACTTTTTCAAAATTTGGGTACGACAGTATAAAAATATTAGGATTTAGGTAATGCTCAATTATTGCAATAACATTTTCATTTGGAGAAGCCGTGAGCAACAGAATGTCATCTTCAAATTCTGAGTATGTAACTGGTTCAGTATTTTCAGATAAAACTTTAATACAGTGACCACACGGAAAGCAGAACTTATTATCTTCCACATAGCACAACGAACGTGGGATGCCTCCATGGTTCCAACTGGAAGAAATATGAAATCTAAATACCACAATACTAGTAAAAAAAACAACAAAAGACTGGTATTTGTTACAATTTTAAATACATAAATAATTACAGCTTGCTCCAAAGCTAAAAGACTCTTGGGTGATAAAACTTGAATGTGTATAAGTTTTTAGATTAGTTTGAAAAAAAAACAAAAAAAGTCTTCATATTTTAAGATATTACTAAATTTTACTTTTTTTGCAAAGGTATCAATGCCTACTTTAAACTCGATTAA